GTTTGTTGATGATTTAGTCTTTGCTCTTACAGGCCTACATCCGCACAAGAAACCATATAACTCTTCTGTATTAGAATTCATTTATGGGCATCTCTCCGAATAAGAAACCATATACAGGCCTACATCCACACATAAGAAACCATATACAGCCCTACATCCACACATAAGAAACCATGGGTATGGCTTTTGGCCATAAGCCATGTAAAACTCAGTTAGTCAAACAACACACATTCCTATTGAAGTACATAATCCATTATAAATGTTAGTTACATGTTCTCACGGCCTTTAAAGGCCATAAACCGTAACCGTAACATTTAAAGTTAAAATTAACAACCAACAAATGAAAACCATGTGTTGATAGGCTAAGAAAAAAGAGTCCAACATCAAGATAAGCAAGGAAAAGGCTGAGAATAGTCCATTGACGATAACCAAATGAAATAAGCACCAATAAAAAACTATGACTTGCCTTAGTCGGATCGCTGAGGTATATAGGCTCCCAGCTTCAGTTTCAATTGGCCAATGGGGTCAGGTGAGTGAGAGATGGCTCCATTGGAGTAATGGAGTGGTAAGGGGATGAAAGTGTGTAGGATTGGCTTCTTTTTATACAAGGCCTCAGTCCCCTACAATTCATTGAGTAGAGAAGGAAATCTCCCTATATGTTCTAGAAAGATTGTAAAATCCTATAGTTTTACTGACTAGCTTGTGGACCACTCGACCTATGGGTGGTTACAACATCAGCATAGTCCTTAGCAATGCTCCAAGGACTTCATAGTCCAGTGATACGACTACTTGGGCGAAAGGGTTAATTTGCAAAGAAATGCATGTTCTATTAAGCTTGGTATTTGGTGAATCTATTTGTTTAACCAATTATATAATTTGCATAGCTGTTTGATTGCATAATTTAAGTGTCATGCACACAAGTAACCTCTACTTAGTTCAATACTGAATTTGGTACACACAATATCACAACCAACGATATTTGGTCCAAACATGATAATACAATTGCTTAGTAGATATCGTGTACCTGCTCTATTATCCTTACCTCAATTTTCCCCTGGTTAACTCACATGGAAACCCTCAATTATGATAGCAATTTCACATTAGGATATAGATGTTCATAATTATGCTATCAAGCTTGCAAGCATTGTCGAGTACATCCATACTAATATGACTTATGCCCTCTTCATATGTTATTGTGGGGAATCATCAGTTATACTAGATACACTATTCTACTTAAGATGCCTGTTTGTCCATCATATCCTGCAAGAAGAACCATTGGTTTTCTTGGGATTTCACAAGAGCATTGTGAAATTTTTTGTCTCTTTACAAAGTTGGAGTCTTCCTTCGTAGAGTACTTATAAAGAAGACGTCCTTGCATTTTGAAGGGTAAAGATATATTCCTATTTCATTAATTCTTTGTAGTCACTTTTCAATTAAACTAAGGAATTTCAGTCATTTGACACCTTTGTAAATTTCTAAATTATAAAAATTTTATTGTAAATTATGTTAATAACCATAAGGTAATTGACAATTGAATTCCTTCAAATTAATTAGAAATACTGCTTATGAGTGACACTTGGGACCAGTGTTTCTGGACTTGGCCAAGTTACTCTCCCATGCCTTAAAGGCGAGGTGAGTTAAGCCTGAGTCTAGTGTACACAGGGAGGTGTATAGTGTGGGTGATGATAAAAATTTATGATAAAATTTGTTCAAAGTTTTTACTTCTAAACCTATATTACTCCCTTTTCTTTATCCAAATCAATATATCTTCGATCGTTTCGGATCAAAACTTGTGATTTAGGGTTTATTCATCGATTTTTGGTGAAAAATAGCTGTATTTTAACAATGATGCCTAAACAGGGATTTCTCTCTCACTTTTGATTCAAATACATCGAAATCTGGTGCTATTTATTCGTGATCAGCCCTCTACATCATCCATAAATTTATTTGTTGGATGAAAGGCTACTGATTGAGATATCTGGCCTGAAAAATCTTGGTTTTAGTGAGAAAACAGTTGTTCAGAAGAAAACTTATTCAATCCACTATTCTGTCAATTTCTTCCTTATTTGTTGCCCAAATCTGTTTAAAATTGGTTCTATTTGATTGTGATTCAATTGCCTTCAATAATCACATAATTTCTTGTTTGATTAATGGCTGTAAAATGAGATTTTTGGCTTGAAAGTTCGTGGTTTTTTGAGAAAAAAACAGTAGTTTTCCATACCCTACGTTTTTTTGGTGCCAAAGTTTTGTGAGAAAAAATTCATATTTAATATAATCTCGATTTTTCTGATTTTTAAGCATCTTTTCCAACATTTTCTGGCTTTGTTCCAGCATAAATATATTGAGCGAGTTGAAGTAACTCCATTTGGACTCGCCCGAGAAACTCGAGTCGGGTCATTGGCGAGTATCTGGCCCGAGTCGATTTCTGAAGAACTCTTTGGTACTACTATTGCATGGATTTCTAAGATTCGATGTGTCGGGTTCATGAAATAGGTTGTTTTGTCAAAGAAAAGTTTCTAATTTTTGTGCCCAAGTAAGCCCCAAATTCGTTTTAAGATGCTAAAGTCCCTCTTAACTGGCCCTGAGCCTGCAATATTTTCCTACATTACGTATTGGTGCATTCAATTGAAGGAATAATTTTTAAGCGAATATTTATATATGAGTTTTTTTTTGCGTATGGTATCATTTTGAATTGGTTTCCAGCGGATTATCCTAACATACGCGAGCTTATTACCATAGTTTAAAAGATATAGCTGCGTTTTCTGTGAACATGAGCAACAAACAGCCTAAAAGCTAATGCTCTTCAAAGCTATACAAGATGTTTTAACTAATGCACGTGAGGACATGAATATATGTGATTGAGTTTACATTGAGATATATGGAGGAGTACAATTACTTGGAAGATACCTGGACAAAATGCCTAGCGTGTGATTAGTTCGATTGCTCTTTTAGCCTTCTATTACTCCAATCTTGATATATTACCAAGAAGCATGCCTGTTTGCTTCTTTGAAAAGAAAGAAATGAAAAAAAGAAGAAAAGAAAATGAAGTCCTTTTTTACTTTACCATGTTCTTCTTTAGAGCTAGGATCAGTCTTTTGTACGCGAGGATGATGTGCTTCTTGGTTTCTGAAGTATTTTTCTGTATTAGTTCTTTGGTGAATTCATTGCAATGTTTTGCATTCCTATGTTATTGTCAAATGACATGCAATTGAAGTTTTTGAAAATCGTTTAAATTAGAAGTCATGTAACCTACAACAGTGACGAAAGCTGGTCAAGAAAGGGTTTTTAATTAATGATTTTAAGACTGGATCAGAGCTGCTGGTTCGAACCACTAAGTGGTGAAGCCATAGGTATTCCTTTTGGTTTGACTACCCACACATCCTCCCCCCCGCCCCCCCCAACCACCAAAAACAAGGAAAAAAAGAAAAAAAAGAAAGAAAAACAGGAATATCCATCCAACTGGCGTTGAACCAGTGGTCATGGCCAGTCCAATCCCTGGACTGGCTGTCCACCTGTTCAGAACCTAGCATTTAGGTGAACCTCCGGCAACTTTCCGAGCTTTCACAAGTAAAAAAACTTAGCAACATTTAAAAAGGTTTTGGTGTCTTATCGCTTTCACAAGTAAAATAGTTTTATTTCTCAAATAATAGCAATTCGGTTGTTTCTTTCATTCATTCTAAAGAGTTTTGTTGCTTTTGTACTAAATGTTGTGAGTACTTGCTTATTTTGTGGATTTTTGTGCATTTTTTGTATATAAATGACTATTTTCTCGGTTTTTATTTTCAGTTACCTGTCTTATTTTATTTCCATTATTTATTGCTCCAATTGAAATATGGAGATTGTTCACATTTGGAGGTTGTTCCCTGGTTTTAATTTTGTGTAATTTCAGGGTTTTTTTTTTCTTAATTTGATAAGGAAAATTGATTTTTTATTTTTATTTTTTGAAATTGTTAACTGTTGTATTAAGGGTGGAAAGAGGTATACCTTGTATCTACGAGAACACCCACAAATCGGGCTTCTTGTCAAAAACATGGGCTAGACCAAAAGCCCTATACAAAAAATGAGTGGGGCTTATAAAAGTGCCCAATACAGAAGATGTACCTGAGGAGCAAGTATTCCAAAAAATCCTAATCACAGAAAACTAAAAAGAGGGACCTAAAGAAATATCGAAATCCTCAGTCGTTTAATGGTCCTCGACTTGAGCCGCTGTGCCTTCCTTTGTCAGACAGTCCGCCAGGGCGTTTGATTCCCTCCAGATATGCCTTCATAAGACGGCCGTACCCTTGCAGATGTGCAAAATCTCATCATAAATCGGCACAAGGTACCAAGGGGAAATCTCATCATAAATTGCCTGATTAATTACTAAATACCTCTGTTGAAAACAGTGAACCATGGAAATTTATTTTTTGTTCCTAATAATTTTCTGATTTTTCTAGTTATTTTAGATTTTCTTTTTTCCATATTTTTTTTATCTATTTTTCAAACTTTTTGTATTTTACCTTTTTTTAATATTTGTATTTATGGTCTGTCTAGTTGGTCAATCAGTCTAGTCTGGATGGTCTTGCTGAACGAATGACCTCACCGATTTGACCTCTATTCTGGTCTGGGCACCATTTTGCACAAAGAACAAGACTACTTGAAGTAGCTTCTTATAAAAAGCTGATGGGTGGTGGTTATTCAAGTGTCCTGCACTTGGCAAACTTCGCATTGTGTATGACAATGAGCCTGCAGTGTTATCTCATTGAAGATATACCGTGAAAGGAAGTGAATCAGGGGGCTTTAGTCCCTAATTTTCTGCAAATTCATTCCAGATTTCTGCTATTGCCTAGATCTGTTTAACTGTTTCCCGAGTATTCTTTGTTGAAATGGTAGATTTTGCCGAATATCCTATTAATTGTTTTGCGCAAATGTCATGCTTTGTCTCCTTTTCGAGTATAATACATCAGAACGGTGCCGTGGCTTGACTTGCCCTTTATTTTTTGCTTGCAATTTCTCTGCAGGAGTGTGGGTTTTCACCATCAATTATCAGCTATGGCTGTCTTATTAATCTGTACACAAAGGTAAAACATTCTTGGCATTCTAGCTTTTTTTCGCCTTTTAGATTGAAATGTTTTGCTGTTTCGAGTTTTCATTTGTGCTCTTCTTTGTATAAAAAGCAATTCGGCTCTATTATTTATAAGCTGATGTATATGAGGAATTCCAGACCTAAATGCCTGAAGCTAACTGATAATTGTTGTGAGTTAGTAAAAAAAAAAAAGAATAATTAATGTTGGAGTGTTGGTTACATTTTGGTGCTCCAATGTTCCTTATCATGAGCCATCCTTAGTAAACGGAATATTAGAAATGTCCACAAACATTTGGCCAAACTATATTATAGTGAACAGTATGGGGGTCCAGTGTCCCTTATTTACAGGCCATCCTTATAGAACCCAATACTAGAATATCTACTAAAACCAAATACTGCAATATCTACTAAAATATCTCTCTAAAAGAAGGCTTAAGTACTGTTATGCCTCTCTCTAAAAGGGATTACCAAAATATCTTTCTACAAATGGGATTTTATCTCTCTCTAGAAAGAGGGGTAAGGCCCTCTCTCTAGGAACAAGAGCTCTTCACCCCACGCCCACTTTGTCCCTCCTATTCGACAAAATATGCAGCCCACCTCACCAATCCTCAGCCAACAACAACCACCTCTCTGTTCAAATCTTTCTCCCATTGTGCGCTGTGACCCTAGAGGTTACTCGTATCATGTAAAAGACGGCTGTTGACAGGCCATGGCCAGCCTGCGGGCTTTCAGGCTGGCTTTGGGCTGCATGTTAAGGCCTGCGGATGGGCTGTGCCGGGCTTGGGAGGCCAGAAATTTTCAGGCCGGGGCTGGATCAGCACTAGCCTGGCATGAATTGTTTTCCAGTTTGTATATTACATAGAATAAAAAATCTTCTTTTCCCATTCTTGTATAGGGCCGTTCCCTGCCCAGCACGATTTCTTCAGGCCTGGGCCTGACTCGGGGCTTGTTATCATGAATTTGGGCCCTGGATGGCCTCAGGCCCGAACCTCGCCTGTTAAAGCCTGATCTAAAAGGCATAAGTTGTAGTGTCTTAAATATCCTCAGATTAGCCTTTCTACATGCAAGACTATATTCTCTCTCCAGAGATTGATTTCACAACACTCACACTAGTGATATTTTGAAGGGAGAGAATGGCGCACAAAGAGCTTTTGAAATTTTCAGCTTTTCAAGTGAAGCTGCAGGAATTGAGCATGATTCTTTCACCAATAGTCAAATTTTGATGATTATGGCAAATAATGGGAAGAACGGGAGATTTGTTGATGTGTGTATGATAGGGAGAGGAGAGGAGTGAGTCAAAGCATCTCTACTGCAGATATCTTGATTGGAATTTATGGTGGTTTAGAGAGAGAGAGAGAGAGAGAGAGAGAGAGAGTGGGTTCAGAGCGATATGTTGGTTTGGTAGAAAAATGGGGGATGGGGCTTTGTCCCACACCTATTATTAGAAAGAGAGGCAAAAGGTGAGGAGAGCTATAAAATGGTCTTGACTTTAGCATATCAAGTCACTGTTTTAACAAAGCTACAAAATCTGGCCAAACCGGGCCGGGCCTGGCCTGGCCCTAGCCCATAATGATTATTTCAGGCCCGAGTTGGGCTTGGCTCAGCTAAACAATTTCGGGCCTTGGACTAGAAGAGGCCCTCCTAGTCCGTTGGGAGCATTAAATACCTCGTCATGAGTGAATAAAATTCCTGGATAGAACGATCGCACTGTCTAGCTGCCCAAACTTCAAGCTCAATATTATACTCTGAGCAGTCTTAGACAACACAGAGTATGTGCAAGTAGTCCTATGCTTCTTTGGCTGCAAAAATTGGTGAGTGGACTATACTGGAGAGATTCACTGTGTTGACAATATGTTGGCATTTGTAACATGCCACTCATATGATAGGTTTCTTAACTGACTCATCTATGTAGCCCCATAAGCCTTTTCTGGAGAGGAAATTTATCATAAAAATGACCATGATTTGTAGTTTGAGCCATCAAGTTTGATGGCAATGGGATGTTACTATGCCATCGCAGCCAGGGAACAATATGATGCCCGACATGTATGTAGACTTGATTAAGGAATTTTTGTGGAGAATAGAAGGTGAAAAACTTAAGTAACAACATATATATGAAAGAACTTGAAACTGATGATTGAAACCCAGATCCAGAAAATAAGCCCAAATGGGCCAAGTTAACCCTAGCTGAATGAGGCTATTCGTTCTAAAAGTGAAATGGATAAAATTCGTGAATGACCCCGAGATTGATCTTCGATCCCCAAATTTCTAGATACCCTAGCTCTAAATCCCAAATTATGGTCCAATTATGCAAGATTGACATGGATTTAGGGGAGCACTCTTGTGTGCAAGTGTGATAGTTTCAGGGAACAAAATTACAAAACCGATCAGTTAACACTAAATCTAGAAGAAATTGGAAACCCTAGATCGAAGCCCCCAAAATATGGCAAGAATAAGAGGTATAACTATCAATTAACAGAGGCGAACAATTTGTATTTGCATAAGATACAGATTTGAAGATCAAGGAGAAATCGAGAGGAACTCTAAACCCTCACTCTAAAAATCAAACTACGAAAAGGCAAACTTACTATTGATCTTAAGGGGAGAGCAGAGCCTGAAAAAAAGTGAAAGTTTGGTGATGTTGAGATCTGATAAGTCTCTCCAAGCTTTTGGCATAAAAACTTAGAAAAACTTGAAACCTTAAGTTGCTTTTCTACCATGTTAACTTGGAGAAGAAGAAAAGTCTCTCTACAATGCTTGAGAGCTGAAAGAAAATGATGGGTTTGTATACAATAAAACAATTTATCTTCGTTACAAGGAGGCTCCTAGCCATTAGATGTCAAATTGGATGGCTTGAGGTGTACACAAAGTTTGAGAATTTTTTTTTGAACTTTGAGTGTGGCCAATGACACACTCATAGCCACCCGATTTGAAATTTGATAGGCAAAGTGTGACCTCCTTGTATAAAAAATAAGTGATCTCTTTGTATACTTTTCCCTTAATGATTCTAGTGGTGTAGAACTTATGCATATATATATATATATATATATATATATATATCTATAGGAACAAAAATTGACTAAAATACCCCTAATGAGGGGAACAGCCTAAACTACCGTCTAACAATATACAATAAGAGATTAATACAAGTATTCTTAAGAGATACACGTAGCCATCTTTCCTCCATGTCAAGACCCCCCCCTCCTATGTTGTTCGGTTGCTAGGAACTTTGTCTTTCCAGCCATCTTTCCTTCTGTGATTTTTCTGGCAATTAATCACCTGTGGGCCCTCCTTGATGCTCTCTTTGAGTTCACCTAGTGGAGACTGTCTTCTTGACGAAGGTTGAGGGTGGAAATGTTGAAGGGTTGGGGTCATTGCAACGCTCAATTCAAACTAGATAATTCAGCTTTAGCAATTAGCAATAACTAGTTGAATGGAACTGCGATCGATGCCAGATTCAAGGTCTCAGGGAAGATTTAGATGACACACAAGCTAAGAATCCTTACTGAAAACCTTTCTACCATCAGGAAACCCCAGCAGATTTCACTGATCCCTCTAAAAGCTCTAAAATCCCAACCATATAGAGGGATTTCATGGATTTTAATCCAAAACTTTCCAGGTCTCGTTGCACCTAGGTTTGGCTGCCATGGTTACAGTTGCAAAGCAGCTTCATGAAAGGTCAGCCAAGAGAATGTCAAGGCCGGCAATGCATCTTACTGGGATGCAGACTGAGAAAGGATAGATTAATAGACCCATCATACACCAACCTGGTTGTTACTTTTTATTGTGATCAGATTTTCTTTGCCCATGTCTTAATCCCCTTAAGATGATGAGGGTCGTCAGCAACAGTGCCTCTCTCATGGCGGATACATTCTGCCACCGAAATGCTTCAGAGATTTGAAAGGATAGAGAGGCTGAGGAAGAGTTTGACACTGTAATGGTTAGAGGGACTACATGTATAGCGCTATTGTGATGGATTTCTGTGGTCTTTGAGGAATAGGATCCTTAGAACCCCTCACTTGCCGGTTGTAACTTGCTTGATCTGCCCTGAGGACTGAACATTGAATTGTTGATGGGGAGGTTGAGGAAGACTAGGGGACATTGGGATGTTTATTGTCCGAGTGGGATGGAGGGGCCTGCAGGTTGCAATTTGGAGTTGGCTGATTATGGCAATATGGGTGGATGTAGACCAGATAAACGTCATAATTTTTGGCAAAGGAGTTATCCTTCTGGATTAGATTGAAGGAATCTGCTTCATTGTCCAAGATTAGGTCAGGGATCAAGGTGGGAGGAAGTGCTGGTTGAATGGGGGCTTGGTGGAAGGGAGGGAGATGGAAAAGGATCCTGTAGATATGGGTAGAGGCTGATATATATGGGGTGCTCTATGGAGGAGAGTGGGGTGTGGGGGTGGGAGTGAACGGTAAACGGAGGATATGGGTCAGACAATTTTTGTTATTTGAAACAACTTTTGTTATTTGCATCAACTTTTGTTAGTCGATGTTACTTTTGTTACTTGAGCTACCTTGAGAATGTATGGTGGGCTGCAACCGACAAGACAATTTCTCTTAGGGTGCTTAGGAACCTTCATGTAACCACCAATAGTATTTTAGTTTGAGACTGGGGTGCTCCCTGAGTACAAGGTTCTTGCGGTTAAGATCACTTTTATTAAGCTATGTTGCATGGCTTGGTGTCCCACACGGGTACTGGGTGTTGGATTCCTCATGTTATGGAGAGGAAGATTCAATGACATGGCTATATTATGATGAGACAACTAAGTCCAACAACGTTTTACTAATATCATATTTCATTATAAGTAGCAAGAAATTATAAATTATAACTTAATCAGCTCTGTAGATTATTTTTAAATTCCATGAACATTTTTGAAAATACTTGCATCTACTCAAATAAAAAAGAAGATCAGGTCTCTCAAATGATGTAGTTGGTTGTTAATAAACAAGTAGAAGAATCCAAAAGAATCCGAATCTGAATGTGTGTAAACGCGTATCCGAATGGGTATGGCACCCATGTGACATGGTTGGCAAGCAATATAATTGGAAAAGGCAGCAGTGATGTTCCTGAGTATTACTTCTTGAGTTTGTTGAAACACTAGCAAGCTATAAATGAATCCAAAAGAATCTGAATCTGTATGTGTCTCAGTGTGTATCTGACAGGGGTACAACACCCAAACAGAAGAATCATAGTTAGCAGCGATGCTCTTGTATACTACTTCTTGAGTTTGTTGAAACACTAACAAGTTACTCTGAATAAATAATGTCGGTATTCCTTGGGGATTCAGTCCTTTTTAACTAATGTAGCATCTTTCAATAGGATGGACATGACAGTTGATATACAATTAATTCATGCCAGATTTTTTGTTGAATGGGCATGAAGCCCTTGGTAAGTTTACTTGTATGGGACTATCAGTTAACCTGTAACTCTTGAAATTTTTAGAGCTTTTAAAGTCTTTGGGAGAGTGACTGCAATGCTGTGATGTAGCGTTTGTTTTGTTATCATACAAAGTGAAATTGTTTGGACTTTCAAAATAGGATGACATTCCTTATCTCTCCTCTCTGCAATATTTCCACAATGAAATTGATAATTTTTCTGTTTCTTTCTTTCTTTTTTTCTTCTTCTTGTTCGTCTTTTTGTGTAAACAGAGGTTCTTTAGTTCTTTGGAAGCTTTGCTAAAGGCCATTACCTGATTTCTTATATTTTCTACTATTAAAATACCCATCTGCCGTTTCATCCAACATAATGCCAATTCTATTTCCACTTTCAGTTGGGCAAGGTTTCTAAAGCACTGGAAGTGAGCAAAACCATGGAATCTTCTGGTATAGTGCATAACAGCAAAACATATTCAATGTTGATAAGTGGCTTTGTACAGCTAAATGATTGTGCAAGTGCCTTCGCCATATTTGAAGACATGATAAAAGCGGGCTTGAAGCCTGATGTGATCCTATACAATATTATTGTTAACGCATTTTGTAAGATGGGTAACATGGATAGGGCAATTCGTATCATTGAGGAAATGAAAAAGGCGAGGCACAGACCTTCATCTCGAACATTTACACCAATAATATATGGATTTGCAAAAGTTGGAGATATGAAAAGAGCAATAGAGACTGTTGATATGATGAGGCATTGTGGATGCATTCCAACTGTCGAGACTTTTAATGTACTTATCCTTGGCTTGGTTCAAAAGAAGCAGGTACTTAGTGCCATAATTGCCTTTCCTAACCCTCACTCTCTCTCTCTCTCTC